CCCATAAGAAATTTAAAATAAATAAAATTAAATTAATTGAAATGAAATGAAATGAAAAAAAAAGAAACCTACGTAAAGGGTCGGCACACAAATCCCAAAGAGTCAATGCACGGGTCTTTTAACGCCAAAACAATGTCATTTGGCAATGGTATATAAGGCCCAAAATCTGATTTTTTTTTTTTTTTAGTTTATCTTTTCTTTTTTCTCTCTCTTCCCACTTGTCTCTTTTCTAAAATTTTAGCACTGGTGATGGCAAGTCCCATTATGATCTAAAAATTAATGTCGAAAAGTTCGAAAGGTCGAGAAAGTCATTAAAAACTGCAAATTTCATTAGAATTTTCGTTGGAAAATTCAAATTTTGTCAAAAAATTTGATTTTTTGTCAAAATTTTTCAAAAATTTCTAGAAAAACATAAGAAATGCCAATTCAATCTTTTTGGGCCTCCCAAATCCTTTAGTATCATTGATTTCTCCAAATTAAATTAAATCAAACTCTCACAAATAACAAAATCCCAAAAAAACAAATTTCTTCAAACCTTACTATTAGAATAAAATTTTTTATTGTATTGCAAAATATATTTAAGTATTTATAGAAGACCGATTCTTATTAGGATGAAACTTTAAGATAAAAAAGATCATATTTTTTTGAAATTCATCTGAACTCCTCTTTATTACAATTTGATCATGAATTTTTTATCTTGCGCTCTTATATTCAATTTTTGAATTTAAGCTTCTTTTATCACTTTCATTATCTTTTCAAGTTTTTTATATCAAACAAATGGACAGAAGTACCATAAGTTAAAAAAATAAAAATAAAAATAAAACAAAATAGAAAGATAAGTAAAAATGGTAAAGATAAAGGAAAACAATCATGTTTCTACTTTTTACTTTTTCCATGTTCTATCTCCAACTGAAATTATATAAAATAATAAATATGTAATATGAATAAATAAATAAATAAATAAACAAGATAATGAAAACAAAATTGAATGAAAGGAATAAAAATGGGTCTATCCTAAACCTAAGTGGTAAATTCGAACCTAATAAAGCTATGACCCTAAATTAAATAATAACCTAAATTCAATAGTTGCTACTAAACTCAACAAATCCATCAACCCCAAATAAAATTCAACTTGAACATCCCGAATTAAATTGAGTGTTTTACAATTACCATTCTTTGTACATTTTGTGAAAAAATTGTGCAAAGATATAAACAGCCATTGCATTTGATAGTTTGACAAACAAATTAAAAATTTTTTGTTTTTCATTTTTAAAAAAAATTAAAGGTTCCTTCAAATCAAAACAACTTTAAACATTAAGAGCTTCCTTCAAAACAAAGACACACAACTTGAAAAATTAAGACTCATTCAAAATGAAAACACGCAACTTTGAAAAAATGAGGACAATACTGAAGATTTGATAATCATGCTTTGGGGTCCTATAGATCTTATTTGAAGAACTTGGAAATTATACTTGGAGGTTTATAAATTATTCTAAACATTGAAAAAAGCTCTTTTAAACAAAGGTTTCACAATTTTAAAATTTGAAAAATCTTTCTTAACCATGGTTGATTCTCTTAAAATGTTTTTTTTCTTTCAAAACTTGAAATCTTACTTCAGAAGTTCCTTCTCAATCAAGAATTTAAGATTTCTTCTCTGAGCATTTTCCTCAATCGAAGATCCAAAACTTCATACTTGTATTCTCCATGCTGGGTCTTATAATATCGCTATTTTCTAGGTGCATGCACTAGATATTCCTAAATAAAATGCAAATATGAATAAATGTATTTCTAATTATGGTAAAAAGGTTTTTAAGACTAGTTTTCACTTTTATACTTTCAGTTATTACTCTTCATAGTCTACCTTATCTAAACAACCAAATATTTTAAATTAGCCTATAACTTTCTTTTCAAGATCTTAAGTCTTAATATCTTTACCTAATTTTATTTCTTTTATCTCATATGCCATTTGCCTCTATCACTTTCCCCTTTTCCAAAGTATAGCAAGAACCTTTCATGTTATTAACCATTTATTTATCATCATTTCAATTTCAAGAAAAATAAAATGTAATTAAACATTTCTTTTATTCATTAGGGGATAATAACAAGAACAAGATAGGAAATGGCACAAAGAGAAAATTGTTTTTTTTGAAAGATAAACAAATCTCTAAAAAAAGATAATAGGAAACTTGGACAAATTACAAAGATAGGTGTTTAGATAGGATGAAAATACTCAAAATAAATAATCAAATAATCATGACTTATTAACCTTGGATTTTTTCTCAAAAACTCAAACAAATGATGTCCTTGATTATTCAAAATTCATCAAACCACACTTGCCCCATGTTGTTCCCTCTTTATATCTAAGCCACATTTTTCAGGTTTTCAACTTAGATGAACCCTTTTTGACTCAAACTGCTTATTTAAGTTTTTTATTTGAGTCATTTTTTTTCTATTTATTTTTTATTTTTGTCAAGCAAAATACTTTTTTTATAGTATTAAAGTTTATTAGGTTAGGCAAATTATCTCTCTCCCTTTTTACTAAGATTAGTACTTTACCCAAAAAAGTTCTTTTCATAACATATGGACCTTCCTAGTTTGATGTCCATTTTCTTTTATTATTATACTACCTTGAAAGAATTTTCTTAAAAACCAATCCCTTTATCATAAACAAGGATGAATTTTCTTGTTATAGGCTATCATCATTTTTTTTCTGGTATTGTTGATCATAACAAAGCACCATCAGCCTTTTTTTTTCAATGAAGTTTAACTATTCATATCAATCTTGGACCCATTCAGTTTCTTTTAATCTGACATTTCTTAAAACTCTCAAAGTTGGGATTTTTTCCTCTACTGGCAATATAACTTATATCACATAAACTAAAAAAAATGGAGTTGCCTGAATAGAAATGCAGACTAATGTTCGATAAGCAATTAAAACAAACAATAACTTCTTATGTCGATCTTTATATGTTTCAGTCATTTTTTTTTTAATTCTTTTAATATTTTTGTTTGCAACTTCCATGCCTTATTCATCTTCGAATGGTAGGGTGTTGAGTTATGGTGTTTAATCTTAAATTGGGCACACATTTCATTCATTATCGAGCTATTCAAATTCTTGGTATTGTCAAAAATAAGCTTTTTTGAGAGTCTCTATCTGTAGACTATTTTTTTTTTATGAACTTGTGACTATTGATCATGTCACACTACCATATAAGGATGCCTCTATCTATTTTTATGAAATAATCAATCATAAAAGAATTAAGTCTATGCCTATTTGAAGCTTTTAGGTTAATAGAACCAATAATATCTATGTTCCACATAGGGAATGACCATAATGTTGCCAAAATATGTAAAGCAATTAGTTAAGCATGATTATTATCAGTATAACTTTGGCACTTGTGATATTTTCGAGCATAATTAATGTTGTCACTTTCTAGCGTAAGCTAATAATAGTCAACCCTCATGATCTGCCTAGCCATCATACGATCATTTGTATGGGTTCCACAAATCCTCTTCTGAACTGCTTCGAGAATTTTTTTTACTTCTACTACATTTGCACATTTCAAAAGTACGTATCTTTATTTTTTTTTTATAAAAAATGCCTCTGTCGAGAAAGAATCTCATAA